ATATATATTATTTATTGTTAGGGATGGTACCCTAATGGAATGCCGGAGGATGAGAATCAGGAATATTTAATAACGTGTACACACTGCTTTCCCAAAAAACACCAAATTTATTTAACTCCAAGAAAAATGCCTTATTAATTAAGTAACTATCAGAATGGTTTGGGGCGGCCTCCAGGAACGCGGCCTCACTTCGTCGGACACCCTTCCGTTAATCACTGCTGCGGTCTGCAACTAGAAAACCCGCAAATGAATAGCACATGTCAACTCGTGTGTAAAAGGGCTGCTACGAAAGTTCTATTTGTAGCAGCGAAAAGTAAACTATAGTAATACACGAGCAGAGAACAACTGTACCTCGTGCCTTGCTCGAGTCTTTCGATCGATACCTCGGTGAACTCGAAGTATTGTAGGCACTCCGAGTATCTTCCTCGGTTGCACTTGAGTTCTGCAGAAAGAAACTGCAGTGAGCCTTGCAACGGACACGTCGTACCACGTGGCGCACCAAGTGAATTATCAATTCCCTTTTGTGGGAATTCGGTATTACGGCGTTACAAACCGCTTGACCAACGAGCCGTGGATTACAACATTACGTCATTATAGACGCCTGGTTGAACGACTGCCCACGGGAAGATAGCTGATAGGACGTCGCAAAGGACGTATGTACCTCTTAGCACTATTCTTAACCCGGATACAATTGAGATTGCAGAGCGGGCATCAGCGGTAACGACCCGCGCAAAGAAGCTGCTCCTTACGCGACGTATCGCAGAGAGATCCGACTTTCAAAGTACGGACTCGTAAGAAGACCGAACTCGATCAAAGTGCTTAACGATCGAGTGATTCTCTCCGAAGGAACCACCTTCGAGAATCAATCGGGGATAAGAATAACCGTGAGAGAACTACGTCTCCGGTCAAACGTCGTCGAACTGAAGTCGAAGGACAGACCGGCTGATCTACCTCAGTCTCACGGCAAAATGTAATTGACGGAATGAATTCGACGTCTTAATTTGGCGCGTTTCGGGACTTCGAATTCGTCAGCTGAAATACTTCCGTTGCACGAATATCCCCTAGACTGGGCAATACAGGCTTGACCGCCGTACAATTGCGTGCTAAAATGCGAGAGAGTGGCTATCCTGTAATAGCATACAAATGCCGAATTATTACCAATTCGATTTGGGGAACTCCCTGGTCAGCTTACAGCTGATTTTAATCCGTAGGGCAGACGGAATTCTCGACGTCTGCACGGCGATAAGCGGTTTAACGAATTCTCGGAAACTTCTTCGAAATTAGACGTTCTAACGCTCTTCGGTCGACAAACCGGGAAGGAATAATAATTCTTTTAAATTCAATATTGCCTGCGACTTGTCAATTCCTCATTTATCCTATCATCATCCATCAATTATCAACAATCTATCATTTCACCATCCATTCCACGTGAATAACGATTAAGTGTGTTTATTGTTATTCATAATAATGCACGAACAACAATTTCCTTGCATTGTTAATTCATGTAGTTTGTTAAACGCTGCGTACTGAGCGGAACTCTTGTTCAAACACGTGAAAGGCCGGGCGGCCGGATCGGAGCCAACGCTCCCGAGTCGGAGCTCGCGTCAACCGAGCGCTCTCATTGGTCGAGGTTTTTTGTTAATAACTCCTCAACTACGCCTCGGACAACTTTTTCGCTAAGGAAAATGTTGTTTAAAATCA